AGAGAGAGAGAGAGAGAGAGAGAGAGAGAGAGAGAGAGAGAATGCACACATGAAATGAAGGTAAATGGATGGAAGTAGAAAATAATCATCCTGAATGAGATACTGAAGACCCAGAAAGACAAATACAATATGTATTTGCTTATATGTGGTTATTAGCTGTTAAGTCATTGACACCTAAGCTACAATCCATAGACCCACAGAGTTTAGGTAGAGAGTAAGAGTCTGTGGGCTGTGCAGGGAGAGAGATCTCCCATAGAAAGGGAAACAGGACAGTCATATATGGATTAGGGAAGAGTGACTGGAACAGGAGGAAAGAATGGGGGAAGGAATACAAGGGAGAGACAGCTAAAATTAAGGGCCATTTGTGTGTCTGTGTAGTATCAAAACCTAATACAGTAGAAACTTCATAAACTATATACATTTATGAAGGTGACCTAAATGAAATTGCCAAATAATGGGAAATAGAGAACCACAACTGACAAGCAATCTCTTGTCACCAAATAAAAATTTCCAGTATTGGGACTGAGCTATAACTAATTGTTGGCTAAAGAGTTCCTATGGGAACTCCTAGACAACCCATGCTGTTGCCAAGACTATAGGTAGCTCTCCACAAACTACAAGGTGCTAAACAGCTATATAACTCACTGAATATGGAAAAGTTGAGTGGATGCCTACACAGAGCCTTCACTCCTACATGCTACTGTCTTTGGTAAAGGACCCAGAATTGTTCCTGTCTAAAAGAAGTGCAGGAACAAAAATGAAGAAGAGACTGAAGGAAAAGTGGAGGTCCAGTGACCGGCCCAACTTGGGATTCATCTCATGGGAAGGTGGGGAGAAAGGCACCAGGGCCTGACACTATTATTGATGCTATGATGTGCTTACAGACAGGAGCTTAGCATGGCTGTCTTCTGAGAGGCCCAACAAGCAGCTGACTGAGACAGATGCAGATACTTACACCCAACCATTGGACAGAAGCTGGGGACCCCTATTATTGAATTAGGGGAAGGATTGGAGAAGCTGAAGGGGAGGACAACTCCATAGGAAGACCAGCAGTCTCAACTAACCTGGACCCCTGGGAGCTCCCATATAGTGAGTCACCAACCAGGCAGCATCCATGGGCTGGTCTGAGGCCCCAGACACGTAAATAGCAGAGGACTGCCTGGTCTGGCTCAGTGGGAGAAGATGCACCTAATCCTTGAGGCCCTTGGGAGGGGCATGGCTGGATGGGAGGGGAGCATCCTTTCAGACACTAGGGGTTGGGGGGAGGAGGAATGGAATGAAAAACTGTGGGGGAGGGACAAGGGGGGATAATGTCTGGAAATGGAGACTTCTAAAGCAATATTAGATAGTGGTGCATGTGTTAAATTTCAGCACTCAGGGGCAGAGGCAGGCAGATCTCTATGAGTTCAAGGCCTGCTTTATACAGTAAGTTCCAAGTCCATCCAGAGCTACCGGGAGAAACCCCGTTTCAATAAAATAAAATGAATGCTGGAGTAAGAAATCAAATATTCAAATAGACAGACACATAGAGCAAGTTTTAGTTTAGCAAAGACTAAAACAGTAATAGTGACAAAAATTTGAGACACACGGAAGACAGATCTAAAACTGGCACCAATAAACCCTATCTCATTGAAAAGTTATATCAAGTGAAGTACAATAAACATATAAATTACAAAGTGTAAACAGATAAGTAGATTTCAGAAAAGTAAAGGACATGTTTGAGAAAACCACAACAGGATGAAAGAAAAAGAACACAAGACAACTGTGGTTGTATTTGTAAGGAAAAAAAAATGACCTTTATACAAGAAATATGGTTAGAGCCAGAGAGAAGCATTTCACAATAAAAGTAAGAATATCTTATTTATCTCAGCAAGATACAGTGAAATCAGAAAGTATACACTTCAGAATCAAAATACATGATGATACCACTCAGCCACTACACTTGGGAACTAGACAGACTAAACAGAAAGCAGCAGACACACAGAAGACTAGAAGCCTCTATCACCCATTCAGCTGACAAGCACAGAATACTCCAACCAAAATCATCCCTAGGGGCACAGAGAACAGTATGTAATACAGTGCATATCTAAGGCTATAAACATGGTATCAACAAATATTAAAGCAATAAAAATATACAAAGTATATTCTTCCAGTGACAAAACTTCATTAGAAACCAGTAAGAGAAAGCAATGTGATATTCAAAGCTAAATGCATACTTATAAAGAACTACAAGTCAAAGAGCTCTAAATAACCTAGGAATCAATGGATCTTTAATTGATGACCCTTTACTTATACAAATATCTTGAAAGACAATTACTTTTCATTGAAACTCATTAGAGGTAAATTTTAGCTTTTCATGCAAAAAAGACTTCAAATAACGTCCTCAGCCAATACAAAGTTTCAAAAGTTCTCCATTTTGCATGTAATGTCAAATATCATATTTGGCACATTTCTAAACTTGTGGTATTTCTGAAATATATGTAAGATGTCACTGGTGTTAAGACATGCTATAACTATTTACTTAATGGCAAACTGTTCATCAAGACTAAAAATAAGATCACAAACTAGGTACCTAGCTCTTTCCCGGGCTGCATCTTCACGGGCTTTCTCCTTCTCTTGCCTCTGTTGCTCAATTCGGGCTTCTTGCTCTTTCCTCTTCATCAATAATTCCTCTACACGGGCCTGCCGTTCTGCCTCCAAGGCTCTCTTACGTTCCTAATGTTAAAAGTTAAAGTTGTCAGAATTATGAGTACAATTAAAACCATCAAACATGGCATAACTTTGACAACAAATATACATTTATTTATTCCTGGATTGTCTATAAGTACATAGTTTCTAAGAATTTAAGCAAAATTCAAATAACAATGACATATGGTTTTCATATGTCATTTACAATTATTACACAAAATTATAACATGATCTTGTATGTATTAAATCGTAAGAAGTACACACACGTACACACACACATTTACACACTTCTATGCACACCTTATGACATAGTTTAGAAAACAAGTTTAATCAAGGTTGAAGAATCATGATCTGTAAAAATATGCCAACTGTATTCTTATACACTAATAAGGAATAACTTGAAAATATAGTTAGGTAAAAATTCCATTTAAAATCCCGTAATGGCTAATTTTGGTTGTCAACTGGACTTAATCTGAAATTAGCTAAGATCCAATCAAGCAACTGAGATCCAATCAAGCAACTGATACACCTATGAGAGATTTCTCTTGGTTGATCTGAGGTGGAAGACCCATCTTAGTCTGGGCCACATCTTCTGGTGGCAACCCATATAAAAAGACATCAAAGAAGGAAGCTTTTGCTTTTTCTCTGCTTGCCCTCATTCTCACTGGCCAAGTTCATGACATGTTTCTAAGACACTCCTTCCCTGGTGCTAGACCCTATTTAAACTTTCAGTATTCCAACACAGGCTGGAAATAGATAGCTCTCTAGGAGCTCCCTGAGACTCCAGCACCAAACTGCAACTACTAAGACATTCAGTCTCTTGACCTGAACTAACAGATCCTTGGCTGTTCTTTCAGGAGATAGCAATTGTTACACAAGCCACTCCAATACACACACACACACACACAAGTATTTTACCATGTATGTATGTATATATACATACATATATATTTAACTTTTTCTGTGAGAACCAGACAGACAGACAGACGAAGTTTTCCTCTTCTCTGGATCTCCAGCCTGACTCAAAGCCCGAGCTAGGAAAGGTGCTCAGTGGTGCTGAGTAGAACCCTACCTGCACAGCCTCATCGCGAGTCCTACCTGCACAGCCTCATCGCGAGCCTGCTTCTCTTCTTGTCGTCTCTGCCGCTCCTCCTGCAGTTCGTTAAGTCTCTGCTCATATTCCTTCAGTTTTGATAAAACATCGTGACGTTTATTCTGAGCTTCAAGAGTATTTATGAAGGCAATCTCATTCACCTTCAATGAGAACAAACACAGAGTCAGAACCAAATTAATTCTTTTTTAAAAATAATTTCTTTATTTTCATTTTATGTACATTGGTATTTAGTCTGAATGTATTCGGTTTGACAGTGGCAGATCCTGGAATTACAGACAGTTGTGAGCTACCATCTGGGTGCTAGAATTTGAACCTAGGTCCTCTGGAAGAGCAGTCAGTGACCTTAACCACTGAGCCTTCTCCCCAACTCCCTCAAATTAATTCTTAAAACAGAGTAAAAAGTGTGTGTGTGTGTGTGTGTGTGTGTGTGTCTGTCTGTCTGTCTGTCTGTCTGTCTGTGTGCATACTCAAGTGCATATACACATGCATGGCTTAGGTGCCTACAAACACTTGGAGCTGGAGTTACAGGGTACCCATGAGCCTCCTGACACGGGTTCTGGGAACAAACTTCAGGTCCACTGCAAGAGCAGAACATATTGTTAACTACTGAGTCACCTCTCTAACTCTTCAATTTAACTCTTATAAATACAAGAAATTTAACAATGATTTTACACAAGAATATTTAAATCATCAGTAAGGCCCAGAGAAAAATAATAAGGTTTTCCTGTCAGTATTACCTCAAAATAAGCCAATGTATATGACAAATTAATAGGGTTTAATAAGAACTAATTTAAGAGGCTGTCATAAAAAATATTTTTTAAAACAGGAAACAATTTAGTATTTTAGAAGATTATTTTACAAAACTTCTTTTAACATAAATTTGTAACGATACAAAACAGAGTACAGATAACTAGGTATGTTCATATTTTTCTAGTGATACTTTTATTTTTTTTAACCTGGCATACTAAATGATGCATTTCATGATAGCCATGAGTAACGGATCTTCACACTTACACATAATTACAAGTTGTCCTAGTTGATCCCCTCCCAGGTCTCCCTGTTCTGTCACTCAGGGGCTCTCCCCGTCACGTCTCATGACAGGCTTATCAATTACCCTCTCTTCCTCCCTTAACAGCTCTTCTCTCATAACCCCTTTCCAGTTTCATAAGTTACTCATACATAAAACTTTAAAGAAGGATTATTTATGAAACTTTAACTTTCTAGGTCAGGCTTATTTTGCTTAGCTTAATGGCTTTCAGTTCCATCTGCTTCCTGGAAATGTCACAATTGCATCTTTCTTTAGGACTGAATAAAATTCTATTGTGAATATGCACCAAATTTTACTTATCTGTTCATTTATCAACAAATAAGCTGGTTCTACTTCACATTATATGTAGCAATAATAAAAATAGATGTGCATGTAATCTCAGACATGTAGTATGTTAAGAGAACTTTGGTTATAGCTAGATTATATGGTAGTTGTATTTTTAGCTTTTTGGCTGCACCAATTTGCATTCTCAACAATACTTTCTGAGGGTACCTACTTCCAAACAACCTCATTTATACTTATTCATCTCTACAGTAATTTCTAGTTTGGGGAACGTTCCCAAAGGCTTCCCTAATGAGCCTCTTGATGTCACTGGGACAGATCATCGTATCTCCTATAGAGTTTGAATGTTAGTAATTTGGCTATCCTCTCTTCTGTTAGCTTTAGTTGTTTTCTCTAAAATCCAACTATATTGCTTTGTTTTCACTTTATTCATTTCAACTCTGATCTTTTTAACTTTTTGGCATCTACTGCCTTTTGGGATTGTTCTTATTTTCCTAACATTGTGAGGTATAATAGTAACTTATTATTTGAGGACTTTTGAAGTTTTTTGGTTTTGGTTTTTGAAGGCAGGGTTTCACTGTGTAATAGACCTGGCTGACCTGGAACTCATTTTGTAGACCAGGCTGGTCTCAAATTCACAAAGATCTGACTGCCTCAAACTCTCAAGTGCTGGGATTAAAGGTATGAACCACCACACCTGGCTTAGATACGTATTAAACATTCTATCAAGCTATGATTTCATTTTTATTGAATTTATAAAACTTTAACACCCGCCATAATTTCTTCAGTGAATACTAATCAAGACTTTACAGTTCAGTTTCTTTATATTTACATATCTTGGTTTGTTGTTGTTATTGCTATTACTTTTCTTTTTCTAGTGATTTCTAGTTTGGTTGTACTGTGATTAAGACGGTATAAGAAATTATTTCAATTGTTTTTTATTTGGGAAGACTTGCTTTGGATAAGACCTGTAAGAATGGTTTATTTTAGAGTTGCATGCATTAATATCTGTTGGATGGACTATTCTATATTTTGGAATGTTCAGTTCATTTGATCTGTGATGAACTTTTAATTCTGAGGGTGGATGCCTTATCAACAGATTAGAATGTGGTATTGAAGTCACCTATAATTATTACGATCTGTTTGACGTCTTCTATTCATCTGCGCTGTTTTATAAAATGAGGGGCATTAATTTCACATATATATATAAATATTTAAAAGTAATTATTATAATTACATATAATCATTCATTATAGCCATCTTCTTAAATGTGTTGTTCTATTATTTACTTCTACGGATAGTAGCCTTCTTTATTTTTCTAATTTTAGTTTGAAGTTTACTTTATCATATAACAAAACAACTACACCATCTTGTTTTCAGTTGATAGATTTCTCTCCTTTAACTGTCAAGTCTGTGTGTAGCTTTATCAGAGATTCTGTTTCTTGGAAATGGAGTCATAGTTTTTTTTAGTTTCTGTGGATGATGTGTACAGGATTATATATTTTCTCTTACTAATTTTTGATTTTATATATCAACCATTCCTTTCTCCCAAGCATTTTTTTCTGCGCAGTCAAGGAAGAAAAAAAATGCCTCCTCTTCTCCAGCGACCTTTCACTTGCTTGTGGATTACCAGTGGCCTGTTCTCTCTCTGAAAGAGTGTCTACTTCTAACTTATTTTTCATTGGTTCAAAGGAGCCAGATACAACCTGCCATTTTGAATCCTGTCTGCTGTAAGTTTTAGACAACAAAACTTAAAATTATAGAAGTTTTCTTTCCCTTTTACATATACTGAAAGTAACAAATAGTTACAACAGATTGTACGATACACTGGTGTCCAACTTTAGACAGAAGCAGGGACTCCAAAAATCTAGATCTGGAAAACAAAACTTAGCTCAAACTAGTCTATACATTTCTGAGCCAGCAGAATGCCTTGGCAAGAGCCAAGCCTGAACACCTGAGTTTGACCTTCCTGGACCCACAAAGTGGAAGAGAATTGACTTCCACAGTTGTTCTTTATCCGATAAACCGTCTCCAGTTTCCGGATGTACTTTTTTTTCTTATTCTTTTTGTTTGCTGTTTTAAAAAATTTTTTATTGGCTATTTTATTTATATTTCAGATGTTACCCACTTACCCCATTTCCCCCCCCAACAAAGAACCCCCTATCCTATCCCCTCTCCTCCTGCTTCTATGAGGATGTGCTCCCACCTCCCCACCCTCGAATTACCCCACACAGTGTCCAGCCTTTATGGGACCAAAGACGTCCTCTCCCACCTATAACTGACAAGACCATCTTCCCTTGCTTATACAGCTGGAGCCTTGGGTCCCTCCCTAAGTGCTCCCAGGCTGGTGGTTTAGACCCTGGGGGCTCTGGTTGGTTGGTATTGTTGCTCTCCTCATGGGGTCACAAATCATTTCAACTCCTTCAGTCTTCATTCTAACTCCTCCATTGTGAACCCCATGATCAGTTCAATGGTTAGCTGTGAGCATCCGCCTCTGAATATGTCAGACTTTTGCAGACCTCTAAGGAGACAGCTATGTCAGGCTCCTATCAGGATGCATGTCCTGACATCCATATCAGCGTCTACCTTTGGTAACTGCAAATGCAGTGGATACTCAGGTGGAATGGTCTCCAGATGGCCCCTCCTTCAGTTTCTGTCCCACGCTTTGTCTCCATATTTGCTTCCTTGAGTATTTTGTTACTTCTTCTAAGAAAGACTGAAGGACCCCTACTTGGTCTTCATTCTTCATGAACTTTATGTGGTCTGTGAGTTGAATCTTGGGTATTTCAAGCTTCTGGGCTAAAATCAAAAAATCAGTGAGTGAATACCATGTGTGTTCTTTTTGTGATTGGGTTACCTCACTCAGGATGATATTTTCTAGTTCCATCCATTTACCTAAGAATTTCTCAAATTCATTGTTTTTAATAGCTGAGTAATACTCCATTGTGTAAATGTACCACATTTTTTGTATCCATTCCTCTATTGAAGGACATCTGGGTTCTTTCCAGCTTCTGGCTATTATAAATAAAGCTGCTATGAACATAGTGGAGCATATGTCCTTGTTATATGTTAGAGCATCTTCTGGGTATATGTCCAGGAGTGGTATAGCTGGGTCCTCAGGTAATGATATGTCCAGTTTTCTGAGGAACTGCCAGACTGATTTCCAGAATGGTTGTACTGGTTTGCAATCCCACCAACAATGGAGGAGTGTTCCTCTTTTCTACATCCTCGCCAGCATCTGCTGTCACCTGAGTTTTTGATCTTAGCCATTCTGACTGGTGTGAGGTGGAATCTCAGGGTTGTTTTGATTTGCATTTCCCTGATGAGTAAAGATGTTGAACATTTCTTTAGGTGCTTCTTGGCCATTCAAGTTTCCTCAGTTGAGAATTCTTTGTTGAGCTATGTATCCCATTTTTTAATAGGGTTATTTTGTTCTCTGGAGTCTAATTGTATATATTGGATATTAGTCCTCTATTGGATGTGGGATTGGTAAAGATCTTTTCCCAATCTGTTGGTTGCCGTTTTGTCCTATTGACAGTGTCCTTTGCCTTACAGAAGCTTTGCAATTTATGAGGTCCCATTTGTCAATTCTTGATCTTAGAGCATAAGCCACTGGTGTTCTGTTCAGGAACTTTTCCCCTGTGCCTAGGTATTCGAGAGTCTTCCCCACCTTCTCTTCTATTAGTTTCAGTGTATCTGGTTTTATGTGGAGGTCCTTTATCCACTTGGACTTGAGCTTTGTACAAGGAGATAAGAATGGATCAATTTGCATTCTTCTACATATTGTCCTCCATTTGAACCAGCACCATT